TCCAGACCTCATCCAGCCTGGCCCTGAACACCTCCAGGGAGGGGCATCCACAGCTCCCTGGGCAACCTAGTCCAGAGTCTGGGCACCCTCAGACTGAAGAACTTCTTCCTCAGATCCAGTCTAAACCTGCTCTCCTCCAGTTTAAACCATTTCCCCTTGTCCTGTCATGGACACTCTTGTGCCAAGTCCCTCTCCAGCCTTCCTGCAGGTTCCCTTCAGGCACTGGAGGCAGCTCTAAGGTCCCTCCAGAGTCTTCTCTCCTCCAGGCTGAATAATTTACCTAGAAATGCTACACTGGCCTTGCTCAAAACAGGAGGAAGTTCTCTTTTATATGCCCATGTATGTGCACAGTGCCTCCTGGCCATACAGGTACAGATCTAGCCAGATGGACAGAGAGGAATGAGCGCTGGTCAGAGGGAACCCGAAACAGAAGGTGCTGGCTGGGTGTGGAGGGTGCCCTGACCGCCTGGCAGCAGCAGGTCCCGTCCTTCCGAGGTGTGGCTGCTGCACCAGGAGCCTTACTTGGTGCAGTCCAGGATCCCTGAGTAGGTGTCCTCGTTCACTCCTCTCTGCAGGGACTGCAGCCGCGTTTTGATCACTGCAGAGCAAGGGGAGAGACAGTGGTGAGCACAGGTGAGCACTGCAGCACGTTCTCCAGCAGCCAAGAGCCACCCTCAGGCTTTGAAATACCAAGAACAGACCATTTTGGTGTGTTCATCAGCAAAACTGGGGAAAACAAACCCATTCCTTTACACCCAGATAAACAAAAACCACAGCCACCCCAAGCCCAACCCCTTCCCCTCTCTGTCACCAAGGTTTCCACGGCTGAATTAAGCTTTAAATGCTTCCAAATTCAGATCTCCTTCTGCAAAGTGCAGACTGATTTTCAGACACTGAAGAAGACACTCCTTCTGGAAGAAGCATCCAGAATATGTGATGCTGCTCTTGCATTGCTTCAACCTCGGAGCACGTGCAAGGCTGGGGGGGAAGGAGTTTCTAGTGTTCTCCACAGCAGAGGAATGGAGCTGTGATTTAGGGCAGATGCTGGGGGGCTCCCTGTGCTGCCAAGGGGCTGGCACGGTCACCCCTGAGGCAGGCTGGCCGTGGGGCTCTGAGCAGGGCCTGGACTCACCGTCGCAGGGGTTGACGGCCACGGCGGGC